AAAAAAAAGACCTTCAAAGTGTCAATAGGGATGTAGTGCACTCTGTTTCCTTTTATTCATTCTGCAGAATGGGAAGTGCTATTACTACTGTTAGACCCATTTTCACTCTGCATGTAGTTTTCCTTGAAATCTATTGTCTTCACCCTTCACAATTTTTTACTGCATTGCTCTTCTAAATGTGTTATTTGGGCAGCTAATACATCAGGTATCAGGAAGAGAAAAAAACCTTTGAGTGAAGGTAAAGGCAGAAACTTCCTTCACTTGAGCAACCTCAGATCTGTCCCCTTGCTGCTTCTTCCTTTTTAAAGCCATCAGACTTTGACCTGCTGACTCTAAAATGGGCAAATAGCACAAAACCCCTTGCACTTGCCTTCTTCCAGGCTGTTGTTCACAGGTCATGATATAAAACAGATAGAAAGGAGACGAAACACTGAAAGGATGTAACTGGAAAACTGCTCATTGCAAATTACATTTTTCATCACTGATACAGTGCTTTGCAGCTCTTGAAGAAAAAAAAAAGTCAATTAGAATTACAATGAATGTAAAAATAAGTTTTTGTAATAAAAACCATAATTTAAAAGGGGATAATGTATCTGAAAATGAAAAGAGGAATCTCTTAAATCAAATGTCCTTCAGCTGAAGTTAATTTCAGTCAATGGGATTTTCAACTGTTTAAATCATATTTTAGCACTGGATTTATAGGAGAGCAGCAAGGAGAAGTCCCATGTTTTATCACCTCTGGTTTCCAGGGCAAGCTTTCAGCTCACTGGCAGCAGCAGCCCTGCATGCCCCAGCATACCAAGCGTGGTGGGACTGACCAACACTATGTCTTCTGGGTGTGCAACTGTGGAGCGTTCACAACAAACACCCTTGCTAGAGGGAGCAGTCCAAAACATTTTGCTCCTGGGACTCCCTGCCCAGTGAAGGACAGAAGTTGGGCATCATGGCTAGGCACAGGGCTGCTTCCACCAGCTCAGATGGTCTGGATGAGGAGCTGGGACTGCCTGGCCACAAACACCCAATTTTCTTGCTCACTCTCCAGACTGATACTATAAATCAATTACACAACAATATATTCCCATTGCTGGCCCAGGAGGATGGATGTTTGCCCAGAGATGACCCATTCTCCTAATGTACCATATCAGATCCACATTAGGTGACATAGCATACGTCGCTCTGTCTGCTCCCTGTTTAAACACATTGGGGGTAAATATTAAATGTGATTTAGCACTATAACTCCCATTAGCTTTAATGGGAATCCCATGGTTTCATCCTATGTTTCTTGATGAATATTTACCTCATTGTTCATTTCAGTGCTCATTTTATCTATTCCTACTGTGCCAACTCCTGCTTGATGTTATAATGATATCATTTTTATTTTAAAGTGTGTGCACACATGGTTATGGGTAATGCTCATGGAAGCCCAGGACTAGCAGTGCTGTGGGGCAAAAGGGATGGCTTTGCCTGGAGCAAAGAGATGGCCAACATTTATCTGCCATACACTCCCAGCCCACCAGCACTACTGACAAACTGGGGATCCCTCCTCTACGAACACTCACAAGCCACCAGAATTCTCCAATCTCTTGTCATTTTAACAAGCAATGGGAATAACTACTGCTCTTCTTTTCCTTTGAACAAACAAAACTACAGCTACATACTGGCTCCCCAAGGGACTAGCTAGATTCCCATAACCAGTGCACCTGGTACTGGGAATCAGTATATCCACAGCCAGCCTGGGACCTGAGAGTTACAGGGGAGTCTGCCACAGGATTTTTAACAAGTCCTTCAATATTTTCCTGCAAAATGCAGAGGATCATATCACACTCACAATCTACAAGACATTGTCAAGTGTAATGATGTTTGTAAAGCCAATGGAAATCTTAGAAAGGAAAATCCAACACACATAGCCTGCTCTGGATTGTTTTGCTGACCCTGCAATGAAGGAGGCTCAAACACAGCTGTGGGAACCGCCCCCCGGCCCAGAGCTCACAGCTCTGTCCTTGGCAGAGGGCTCGCACAGCTTCTGCAAAATACCATGCATAGAAGTAGGATAAGAAGGAACAGAACGTGTGCCATGATGTCCGGGGCAGTGGCAGCCCCTGGGGTACTCACTCAGCAAGATGATGATGCAGATCAGGATGGCGATGATGGCACCAGTGCCCAGCCCCGCCGCGGCCACCGCCCCGATGGTGGTGCAGTCACCGTTCTCGTCGCACGGACACACCTTCACCTTGATGACTGAGGTGTTGTACAATGGGGGGTTTCCCGAGTCTGTCACGATGATTGGCACGTCGTACACACCAGCTTCCAGGTACATGATTCGTAGACTAAGCTGGGCATAATCACCTGGAGAGGCCAAGACAGACAGACAGCTGACTGATGGTGTGGCAGAGCCACACTTGAACGAGCAGGGCTGCTTTGCCAGAGCAGTCTTCTGAGTCCCCAGGAAGGGGCTACCAACAGCATACCTGGGCAGGACAGCTTCAGACTTCTGCATTAACAGTCGGGTCAACAATCAGCCTGTGTTTTCACTAGTACTGGGTGTTTTCACTGCTGCACTAACCTCCCTTGATGCTGTTTGCAAATCCAGTTGTATGCATTTAAAAATAGCACAGAATGCAAATATTACAGCATGAATGAAGAACTCTGAGTCTGGGTTGCCCTTGGCCACTCTGCAAGCTCTCTGCTTTCCCATTGTGGATGACTGTGCTGAGCCAGGTAATCCTTCTTGTGTTCCCTCCCATTGTGATACAAGAGCTGTGGGATTGAGCCCTGAGCTGTGAGGGCACAAGCTGTTGCTCCTGGCCTGTGGGTGCCAGACCTCAGCAAGAGGGACCAGTCTTGAAGCCCAAACCAACCCATGGCTCCATGATATATCCCATCCTTTGCTGAAACTACCAATAAGAGGAGCCATTAGGGCCATTTGTGGTTGCATGCTGCAATCTAAAAATCCTTCACATACTGGTAATCTTCACACTTACCTAGCTCTCCTGGTTCCATGGTAAATTAAAAGGCTGCCTTTCTGCAATTATGGTCAGAGAAATGAACATTGATCCTGATTGTGGCTTATGACAATTACACTGGAACATAAGGAAGACTGATAATAGCTTTTTTCCCCTTGGCCATTATGGATGATTTATACGCTGTTCACTACTGATAACTGTTCATAATTATGAACTGCATTAAAAAAAGCCAAGTGCCAAGGCTCTTAGAGTTATGCTGCAGGTCTGATACAAATCATTTCTGATTAACTATCTTGTCTATAATGTCAGCCATAATGTGCTTTAAAAAATAAAAATCAGATAGAAAAGTAGGAAAGTTTGGAAGTTTGAAACTGCACGTGGCCTCATTAGTGAATCAGAGCCCAAATGTCCTCAGGATTGCCTGCCCCATTTACCATTCAGCCGTGTTATGGTCCAGTTCTTCCTCACCGCAGATGGCACACTTGGCAGCTCGAAGACAAAGGGCCCAACGTTTGGATCGATGTCAGCATCGGCGGCTGTTATGTTGATGACATTCAGGTTTGGCTTTTCACAGATCTGTGCCTCCTTTGGCAGGAGCTCAGGAGCATTATCGTTGATGTCGATGAGGTAGATCTGCAGCGTGCCCGTGCCGCTGGCAGGGGGGATACCTGCATGGGAGAGGCAGAGCTCAACACCGAACTGTGACCCTCACTCCAGAAGCAGTGGGAATGACAACACAGTGGCCCAGCCCCCTCTCTGCCTTCCAATTTCAATAAACCAGGAGTTTCATCCTCCCTGTGTGGATGTTATTAGGGACATACCGCACTTTCATGGTCCCTTGCTTTAAGAGGCATTATTAACTTCCCCAAGCCTCCTAATGCTGCTGTTTTTCACTCCTGCAGAAAATGGAGGTTGAGTTCTGCAGATTTGTAGCCCACAGCAATGTCCTTGGTCAAACTCTAAAAATAAAAGGAAGTAATGCCAAGCTGCTAGTGCAAATTTTGGTAATGGCTGCTTTGAAGAGGAAAAAACCATTAGAATGATAGCTAACAGGAGGAAGACAAGGGGAAAAAAAAGTAAGTCGTGTAATCTGTTGGTCAGCATCTACTGTAGCACTCACTAGCCAGTTTTTAGATCTGCTGACTATTATGCTGCTTCAGAGAAAGCCCAACTCTCCAGTCCATCCCACACTGTGGAAAGTCTATTAGCCTAGATGAAACTTCAGCTGTTATCCTAAGTACTCTAGATAGAATTTTAAACAAAGTGTTGCTTTATGTGCATTTTAATGACTGAAATATACCACTGCTAGATTAATTTTTCAGAATAAAGAGATATATCTAGGTCTTCAATTTCTGAGCTGCTGAATGATGGATATGGAGGCACCGATGCACTGCAGCATCAGCACCAAAGCCAAGGCAAGGGGTTAACTCCAAATCATGCTGTACTAAGTGACCAGGATTTCCAAGGTCAGATGGTGAAGATTAGTTTGATGGGTTAAAGCTCTACCACTGCTTTTGTGAATAGTCTTGGCCAACTCATCTGAGCAGTTTTTCCCTGTGACTCTTGCAGATGCACATTGTTAGATCTCTTTGAGAACACTTCAGATGCCTCTGCCCTGGCTGCCTTCATAGAGGGGATGCTTAGGATGGGGCTGTGGGGCCACACCAGTCTTACCACTGGTGGCACAAAGAAGGGGTAAAATTTGCTTCCTGGTACTGCTACTCAGCATTGAAACTCTTCATGAGTTTGCCTTGATCCTGTGACCCAGGATGCAATAAGTGAAGTCTGAAACCCCAGAGGAAGCAAGTTTCAATTAGCCCTGCAAGCACCACTCCATCTGCTCATAATGGATGTGGCACCCTTCAGCCTGAGAGATGACAAGAGCTACCACAAACACTGACCTGGAAGCATCTGCAGACTATAAGCAATGTAGTTAGGTGCTCACAGCCCAGACTAGAGTTCATTTGGATGCAGAGGCATGGTTCAGGTTTGATGTGAGTGCTCAGCACACACTGTGAGGGTGGGAGAAGAGGAGGTGGAAGGTCCTCCCCTTGCCCAGAAAAACTACTGGACCCTCCACAGAGCCATTTCCAAACTGGAGAAACCAAGGAATGAAAGAACAGCACGGGCACATTTAGGTATGGTTAGCAAAACAGTCATCAGCTCCTCCTAATCAGAATGAGGAAGAAACCCAGGGCAGGAGCAATGGATGGCTTGCCCTTGAGTGAGGCCAGCGCTGAGGTTCACAGGGCTAATTTGACCAAAAGCACTGTGTGATCTTTAATGAGTGGAGGAGAGCAAGCCTTAACAGGACTTCTCTGCGAGAAGATCTGTACTGGCCTCAGTGACTTTGATAACAAACACACCAGCATCCAGCTGCTCTGATCATGGCTGGACATCTCAGAAACGGTGGCGGACACAGAGAGAGTAGCTCAGACGACAGACAGACAGACACCTCACATGAAAGCCACAGCACTTCAATGGATTGCCTTGGTTTTATTACCCTCCTGACATCCCCTACAATTATTTCTGGTTTCCTGATGGAAGGCTTCCTGATCAGTGCCTCTGGGACGATCACCAGGCCGGTGTGTTCAGCAGCCCTTGGAGAGCACATCCCTTTGATTTTTTTTTAAGTTCAGCCCACACTGCTACACTGAACTCCCCAAATTGATTTTCCATTTGCCCTCCCTTTCCCTTAATAACATTCTCTGTATACTGTGCACATTTAATTTACTCCAGCAATTTCCCGTCCCACTTTCACATTTTTGACCATAAAAACCTGGGAAAAAGATAACTTATACTGACAACTCTGTCAGGGCATCATTTCTCTTAATGCACCACATTAGAGTCTTATTGAAGCATGAACAATGTGAAGCCTGGGCTCACCGTTGTCAGCCGCCAAGAATGTGGCCTCGTAGACATTATTCTTAATGTAGTCTGACTCTCGATCAAGGACAGCAGCAGTAGTGATCTGACCATTTGTGGCATTAATGTTCAGCCAGTTTGCAGGATCTGACAGCTTAGAGTATCTACAGAGAAAGGAAATAAATACATGGCAGTCTTTTCACTGACATATCCTTAATATTGCTTGAAATAAGGTTTTTCTGGACTCCTGACCCATGATTCAAAGGACTTCTGGATAACTGGTTTTGTTGACAAACAAAACCTCTAATTGAGTATCTGGTTTTTGACCTCTGCAATTATTCAATTTCTCTATTTCTTTTGTTTTAAAGGTTTTTCTTTCCACTAAGTGCCATGCACATGCCAGCTTCCTGCTGCTGGGCGAGGACATAGCCTGAGGTCTCCGCAGCCAAGGAGAAATGGGGTCTGCAATGACCACTGCACTCATATGCCTGAATTAAAGGATGGATTTCTGCTCTCTCCTTCTCTTAACGTTGCCCTTCCTAAAATAGCTCCAGCTTTAAAATCACAGATATTCCTGTTTCTGTCTACCACTAATAAACAACAGTTTGGGAAATACTACTTAGAGAGAAACTGGCTTGGCTTTTTGGGTATCTTTTTGCCTAACTGTGAAGGAAAAAACAAGTATCCTTTGCATAGCTCACAAAGACAGGAAAAGGAACCCAACCACACCCCACTGCTTCCTGTGAAGCCTTGGCATTGGACTGTCCTGACAAAAAGGGGTGAAGAGAGATTCTGCTTGGGTTTGGAAACCAATTGCTAGTGGATACACAAGATGTGTGTCCTGTTAGCCCTTGGGAAAAAAACCTCAAGTAATTGGCTGTTCATATTCACAGAAACTCTTACAAGACCCCACAAACACCTTGTGTGATGAGAGGAAGGGCTCAGCAGAGCTGGTCCTTCTCCCAGAACTGGCAGATGCTCGTTTGGATTACAGATCATCCACCTCTGGGTTAGAGGGAGCATTCAATCAGAAACGAGCTGTTCTGTCCTCTGAAATCCAGCCTTGGTACAGACGTCAAGGAAATAAAGACCCTTCAGAGGCCAGTATTTCAAAAAAAGTGTAAGAAAAACTGGCTTGTTAGTTAGGATGATGTCTCTCCTCAAAAGTCACAATACCTGTCTAAAGACAACAAGATGAGGCAGTGAATAAACTCATTTTCTAGACCAGACAGGTCTGTGCCAGGTGAAATATTTCAAACTCTTCCTGACATGAAATGTCACCACTGATGTAAGTTTAAGTGGCCTTGGCTGTGGTCACGTTGTATACTCAGGTTTTTCCAAAAATACTGTGGTCTTCACAGACTGGGAGTAAACAAGAAATCAAGTTCTGTGGATGTAGAAGTGTCCAAGAGCAGGAAAAACATTTCCCATCAGCACAGACAGGCTGAAAAACTTGTGAAAGGTGTTACAAGGACTCTTATTTTCACACACACTTTTCTGCAATGTATTTCCCGGTTGGAAGGGGACAAGTTGCCAGACTGCCTGGGTGACAGCAAGTGACATGCTACTGGAGGCAGCAAGGACTAAATCCAATCTTAAACTGCTAAGACCAAACATCTGACTTGCATAAGGCTAAAATTTTGTCAGCTGAATCCCATTCATAGCAAAAGCAGCTAACAGGGAGGTTAGGTTGGCCAGTGGGGGTGACTGGAAAGGGAAGGGCAGAACAGACCTGGCTGAGTGCAGAGCAGGCAAGGGGGCTCTACATGGACTGGCATTAGTCAAAGACCATGTGCCAAAGGCACGTGCATGGAAATTTGACTACTTGGGCAACATTTAACCATATGATATCTTAAAAGTCTGTTCAGCAGCAGCTGTAACCAAGTGAGCCTTGCTCTGCCTGGGCTGACAGCTCCTCTCCCACTGCTTTTTAAGTCAGGTTGAACCTAAATCCCTTGGAAGCAACACAAGACATGATTAAAAATCCCACTGATTCCTACTGGAAATCTAGCCCTATCCCTTTCTGTACCTCAGTTTCCCTCCAGTAAAACAGAAAGAACACAGTTGCTTTTTTCTAAACCTTTAGTGCACAAAGAGCACAGGCCAAATCATCTTTGATAAGGCAAAGACAAAACAATTAGCACAGTGCAGCCCTGACCTGTTTCTGTACCAACACAGGGACCCTTTGCTATTGACTGCTTGTATTTGAAGCAGAAAACTGCTCCTCTGCAGGCCTGTAACATTGGATCCAACTTTGCCCTCCCAGACCAACTGCTCAGAACCTGCCTTATTTGCTGGGAGAACTTTGCAAGCCCTTAGGGGGGCTTTGCAAGCTCTCAACTGAGGTGCAAGTAACTGCCAAGCACTTTACTCATATCGTATCAGTTAGTTTGTGAATTAGGTTTCAGCTGCTTTGATCCCCAAATTTCTGCAGCTGAAATCCCCCTCCTGTACACGAGCTCTCTTGGCTGCCTGGTGTCCCACCTTACTGCCTGCTGCATGAAGCGATCAGGATCCACTGCTGAAAACGTTGTCAGGACTGTCCCTGTAGGCACCCCCTCCTCCAGCCTGATTAACTTGTGGTTTGTCGGGAAATATGGAGCTTCGTTAACATCTGTGACTGAAATGGTGACTCCTGCTGTCGACTGGAAGGACATCTGGATGCCACTGGCCAGGGGAGCTTGGTTTGATACCATCACTGTCAGCATGAAAGCTCTGTTCATCTCGTAATCGACTGCCTAAAAGAAACAAACAAGCAGGTATAGAGCCAAGCAGGGAATAAGTTTTACCTCTGTCTGAAGGCTGCAAGATTTAGACGGCAGGTGATATCAAAGTCATTGCCTCACTTTGTTTCCTCCAAGCTCAGTTCTTTTAAGGTGTTAATCCAGGCCAGCTCCTATCCAGTGGAGGATTTGGCTTTCCAGAATTTGGAGGGCCAAATAGTTAAAAACCCCACAAAGTAAAAATTGTAAAGAGCAGGGAAGATTTCCCCCGTGTTTTGTTCCATTGCTAAACGGCTTCCACAAAAGGAGCTGCCTGTGTTAGCTGAGCATTGAAGGAACAAATCCACCAAGGGCTGCCCCAGACACCGCAGGTGGAGCCTGTTAAGAGAGACTGGACAGGTACTTAACAGTGCTAGTAGCACTTAAAGCTGTTGGGTAGATAGCTAGGACAGTCTGTGTGGGCTCATTAGCCTGAAGTGCTTTTTATTTTTCCTCTTAAGGGAGTTTATAAGTAAAAGTGGAGGTGCAAGAAACAACGCCTGGTCTGGCTGACTAGGTGGTCCTTCCAGTGAGACCTCTCGTCCTCTTGCAAGATGCCTCGTGACCTCCTGAGGTTGCCTGCAGATTCCAACAGATATGTTTTGCTTTTGGGTGGCCACAGATGCAACATTCCCATGAAGACAACGTGTCTTAAGACCCAAAAGGAGTGAAAAACCTTTGCTGGCACGACTGACTGAACTGCAGTATAATAATAATAATTTCTAAACCATCCCACTAATTATTATGAGGGAAGGCACTAATCATCTGCCAGGAAGGCTTGAGTTATGCAGGATCACACCTCTGCTTGTTAAAAAATGCTTTGCTGTAATTTATGAATTTAGAAGCGTAACCATTCTCCCTGATATCTTCTCCAGAGCTGAGTCTGCAAAGCTCTCACAGTGTAAAATGCCACGGTTCCACTGACTTTGCTAGAGCTATACTGATTTACATCAGCAAGATCTGCCTTCCGTGTTCTGTTTAAAACACAGTATTGTCAGGAGGGAAATCAAATCATAGGAGGCTACATGAGAGAAACAAATTTCAGGGGCAAAAGGTAAAACAGTGGATTCTCTATTTGATTGAAGTGCAAATTGCTAAATGGTTTCCTGACAAGCAGGGCCAACATTTAATAAATAAAAGGAAGCACAAAGATTCCCAGTACACCCACCAGCACTGACTCATGGACTTGTATTGCATTCAAAAAAGACACATGGTAAAAGTTCTAATTTAAACACTATTCAAGGCTTTGAAACAATCTGACTAATGCATCTCCTCAATTTCTTTTCACACTCCTCTCATTTACATTACTCCAGTTTTCTTTCTTCTTTTTCTTTCTTCTTCTTCTTTTTTTTTTTTCTGTTTGTGCTGGCCTGTGTGCTCACAGCCAGTCTGCACCTCCCTCCCCACTAGGGTGCAGAGGGAGCTGGCGGGGAGATCTGAGCAGCTCCAGGGGGGACTGCTGAGGGAACCCACTGGGCTCCCTGTCTGATGATGCACAAGGACACACTGACCACACACATACCTTCTAGGATGTGGCCTGATGCAAGGGTTTTTTCTCCCCAAAATGTAGAGTTGCTCACTCAACTTCTTTACCTCTCTTCTGGGAACAACAAAACCAGGGCTGCTGAAAAGCAGCCCAGGGATCAGGGCTGGGGTAGAGTCACCCAGTACTGCCCATCCCACAGACTGTCCTGGAGACATCAGTGCCATGTGGAGGCACAGTGTCCACCACACTTCAGTCTGCACAACACAGTCCATCTGCCTCCTTCTCTTCTGTACTAGCCGAGTTCCAATTCACATGTTTTGCCTTTTTTTAAAACAAAAAAACCCTATATTCCAGAGCCTGCATCTTCACCAGGGGAGGTTTAGATTGGATGTTAGGAAGAATTTCTTCACTGTCAGGGTTATCAGGCACTGGTAAAGGCTGCCCAGGGTAACGGTAGAGTCACAATCCCTGGAGGTATTTGAGTTGTATAGAAGTAGTACTTCGGGATAGGGTTTAATTAAGAATTTGTCAGTTTCTCCCAGGACAGTCCATACTTCTGCTCACTAAAGCTGCCTCCCTCTGACGAACGGTGCTCAGAGCACATTGTGTTCCTCACACTGCACTAATGCCTTCCATCTGCAAGCATCTTACTGAAAATCCTGTGTCTTCATGTGGCCACAGCAGGAGCAAAAGCACATGGAACCAGGATATGAGGTGCTGGCACGTGGCATCCAGGATATGAGGTGCTGGATTGTCACCTACTTTTTAATTTCATGTCCAGGAAGCATGTGACATGAAATTAGAAAGTAGCACCTTTGCAGACACTCCTTGTTGGATGTTCTGTGGCTGATCTGGCACAAGTGGCTCTGAAACATGTCCCTGGAGATGCTGCACATGCTCCTCCTTCACCAGCCTCTCCAACCCTGATGCGCAGAGTGAAGCCGAGGGCTTGGCATGTGTCCTCCTTTTCTCAAGGTACTTCTAACTGAAGGCAACAAATTTGTCTTATGTTATTGTTGAGGCAAATAATAAGGGAAGCTTCAGAAGCTTCTCCATTATAAATTCACAGCTCTGATCCACGCAGAGTTTATAATAACATTTTACTTAGCTGGCTGCCACAGGGCACTCACTGCTGCTCTAGGAGATTGTCTTCAGACTCTGTGGTGTCTCATCTGGGTGGGAAGTTTCTCTCTCCCCTTGATCAAGGCTTTCTTTGAAGATTAAGGTCTCACATGTTTATGGAAATGGTTTGGAAAGGCATGAACAGAAAAAGGAAATGTTACACTTCCAGTGATTGGACTGGAGCTGCAGGTGGGGTTTTGCTGAAAGTGGCTGCAGAACAGCCCCCGTGAGCATCATCTGAACTCCAAACAGCTTCTTGTTTTAGAAGCATTTCTGGCCCTCCATTTCTAGCTCCCAGAGTGCTGGTGGAGGGGTGGGATTCTTCACAGAATGCCCTTTTCTGCACCATTTCTGTGACTGCCATGGACCAGATACAAAGCCCTCTGCTTGCAGCAGTGGCAAGTTATGTATAAGCAGCTTCAAAGAGCCAAATGAAAATCCAGCCAGGTCTGCAAAGAAAAGGTTCATTATTTGACTTAATTTTTTACCTGTGTTTTAAATCTACCTCAGGGATCAAACCAGCAAGAGACTGCTCCCACACAACAAAGAACAAGAGCTGACCAGCCACCCCATTTGACATGCATACATTCCCCAAACCTTTAAGCATATTTAGCATTTTTACTTATTAACATAAAACAAAGTATTTCAAAGAAGAAGGTGGAATCCTAAGAGATGAAGAATCCCTTCTTCACCATGAAAATTTAATCACAGCAATTTCACTCATTCTCCTTGCCAAAAATACACCAAAAAGCCTCCCAGCTTGACAAGGGTAAGAAACTCTGGGCACCCAGGAGGATCAGGTGAGGTTCTATAGTGAAGACATTCAATGCAATTTCAAGCTTTGAACTCATCTTGACAAGACAGGGTTTTTGTGTGGTTCTCTGAATTGTGATCACTGTGGTTTATACAGCAGTGGGAAGTCAACTGGTGTCTTGACAAATCTGCCCTGCTTTTTTGCCTGCAAGTTCTGAATAAGGCAGGGTTCATTATGCAGAAGTCCTTGTGGAGCAGTGATGATCATGTAATCCACTGTTGTTCACTTTGATGTGCCTTTCAACTACAGTCATGGCACTTTACTAGATTAAGAATAAGGGTTTCTCCCAACCTCTCAGTGAAAACGTTGGCATTTCCATTCCAGATGGACTGCTGATGTCAATGGAAATAAAATTGTTGCATTTTAGTTTGTTGAATGTTTTCTGTTGAAGCATAAAAATAGATACATGCATAGATAGATGCATAATTACACATATGCATCCATATGCACACATGTCTAGAACTACTGCTAAGCTTGAAGAGGTTTTGTAGCATTGCACCAGATAAGGCTGTCAGCTGTCATTACAGAGCAATAAGAGTGATAGATAAAAGAACCCTGATGAAATACCATCTAGCAGGTAAGATGATGTCTCCCTTAGAGTTTCAGCAAAGTGGCATCTGCAGACACACACACACAGCCTAAGGGTCAGAGAATAGGACAAGCTCACACGTTCCTACCAGCATAACCTCACTGGCATTTCACTGATGTCATTCTTCCTAATACCCAAACTGTAAGTATGAAGAATGACTGCAACTTATTAGCTATGAGGGAGAGTGTTCTTTTTTTCAACACTGAGCTATTCTTACATCCTTTTAAGTCTTTAAACATTAGTGTTTCATCCTGACCTGTTGATGAAAACTTCCTGTTAGAGAAGACCAGACTTATCAAAAGATGCAGGCGTTGCCCATCACAGCAGGTATTAACCTCTTCAGGTGCACTGCACAGTGTGTGTCCTGTGATCTCCTACAGATCACAGCAGCCTATTTGTGACACCTTCACTTTCTTGTTAGTAAGAGGGAGCATCCATAGGCATCTTGTCTGGGATGAGATCCACTCAATGCTGAATGGATCCAATTATGTTCAGACTGAGTTTAATGATTGCAGAAGCATTCACTGTCTGGGCTGCTGGCCTCAGGAGCTGAATGGGAAATGAATGCTCAAAGGAAAATGAAGCCATGTTCTTTGGAGGCAAGGAGGGAAACAGAATTTGATACTTGCTGTAGATACCTTGAGTGTTCCAGCTCTCCTAAGGCTGAAGGCAAGAGATGGAGGAGAGAAGGGATGGTGGATATTTAGAGTCTTATTTCTCAGAGTCTTTGAACAAGATTCTCTGCTGATCTAACCTGGGGAGTGGCCTTCACTGGAGTTGAGCTGTTCTGAGCTGAAGATCTGGCCCACACTGTGTGTTTAATGCTTGATTCTAGGAAAAGAAAAATCTCCCCCAACTTTGTTCTGCCAAGCAACTAAATCAGAGGAAAATCTCCCCTTTTATTGTGTTCCCAGAAAATTCACTCCTCCTGAAATCTCTCCTGCACTCCCTGCTATCATGAAGGCTGATCATTTCACCGGTCCCCTGCAGTGAAATGCTACTCCTGGTTCAGAGCTAATAGGGAGTTTTCTGGCTCAAAAAGGAGAAGGAGCAGCCTCTGCCCCAAACCTGCCAGGTAGGGCAGGGCAGCACAGCCCAGGTGCCATTCTCTCTGCCAGTGCTCAAAGGCTAAGGAGGAGCAGGGTGTGGAGGTCAGGCTCAGATGCTTGGAGGTGCCTTTGGCATCTGAGAGTAGATGAGAGTTTACAGTGGGCTGGGCTGAGTTGGGAAAGACAGAACCAGCAGCATGCAGTTGAAGTGGTGGACTGTGGTGGTGCACTTGGCAGTGCTGGGTTAATGGCTGGACTTGATGATCCTAAAGGTCTTTTACAACCAAAATGATTCTATGATTCTAAGTTACACTACTCAGGACATCGGCACAGAGAGAGATGGGAAGCAACAGATCTGAGCACTCGTATTCCCAAACAGCAAAAGCATGGAACAACTGCAGCCTTCTGTCTTCTGGCATTCCCTTAGCTAGCTGAAAGGGTGACAGGTATGGATATGCTCTGGCTTTCCCCTTACCTTCACAACAGTGACCATGCCCTCGTTGGTGACAGGGTCTGTCCGGATGGTGAAGTGGCCAGAGGGGTCTCCGCTGATGATGCGGTAGATGGCATTCCAGTTGGGGGAGTGCGGCTGGTCCCGGTCCAGCACGGTCAGATTTGCCACCACAACCTCCACTCTGTTCTCAGGAACTTCCCCTGAATACTGCAAATAAGAGACAGGAGTGGTCATGGTGGGAACTCTCTGTTGGTCCTCATGGCTACTTCCCCTCTCCCCTCCACCAGCACGACTGGGAAATCAGTCCCATGAAGAGGACCATGGGGTCTGTGTTAGGAGTGACACGTCTCTTTCTCACTGCTGGTTTTCCTGATTTTTTTCTTTGAATATTTTTCCAAACCTTTCAGAGCCTCATCTCACCTCTCAGCCCAAAGGAGAACACACCTGCTATCACTCAGCCAATGCCCAGGTTTCAGCAAATGCTCAAAGTAAATGGACAAAAAATGTTCTTGATACTCTCGTTCAGTTACAGCAATCAGAGAGTTAATTGTCAACAGCAGGTAAAAATGGCAGACTAAAATGTGCATTTTTTTAAGGATGACTATGTCCCTTTAACCTGAGGTATTTTGCCTCACTCAGATTTCAGTGATGGCATTTTATTGCTTCTTTGGTGATTTTACTTCATTTTCTTTCTTGCCCTTGGTTTGATTTTGTCTCATTATTCAAAGTGTTTCTAGTGATTTTGCCACAGCCTTTCCTGGAGCTTAATTCTCTCATTTAGCACTGATTTTCATGGAGCATGTCCAGGCATAGCCTGATGCATTAGCTGCTTTCTTTTCTGCTTTCCAGTCCTTGATTTATCATATGGTTGATCAGGGATCCTGGCCTGTGAATATTTCCAGTGTTTGGGGCTCAAAAGCTGCCAGTAAGACACACTCTCCATTTTTCAGCTGCCCTCATCTCTCAGCATTGCCTATTAGCAGCACTTGCAAATCAACACTCTGATTGACATATGGCAAATTAAACACAGGGGAAACGATGGGAGCGGCTGGCTCCAAGTCTGCAACTGAAACCCTGGCCCCAAACTGCAGGAGCAGAGCACTTCTGGAAATCTGGCCTTTGGTGTGCACAAATGCCACGTTATGTAAATGATAATAAATCATCCCTGTGTTACCACAAGAGTCCCTTTCCACTCCTAAGCCATACCCATCCATTGGAGTCTTTCCATTCTGTGTGCTTATATTTAAGATACATCATTCTACCACTGACAGCAAAAATATTCCATCTGCCTTATGCTAATGTAAGTTTAAATTTGCCCTTTAGTGCTATCCTGAATGGCAACGTGCCCTCCTTTCTGTTATGCACCTGTCCTATACAAGTTTTCATTAGTGAATGCAGATGGCATCTCTTCCCAGCCATGCTGAGTGGTGGGGAAGAACAGTGGGAAGCTGCAGGATAATTCTAATTCCAGTACACACTACAGCCCTTCTTTTCTCTTTATTTCCCATTATTTCACTTGTTCTTTACCCATCCCCTTGCTCAATTTGGAATCTCTGCAGCATACGGCTTAAGCAGGGGAAATATATGGAAATTTATCAAAAGCCTCTTGAAAAATCCATTATATTATGTCATATGTACATTCCTATTATCAACCTTGTCTGAAACCTGCTCTGAAGAACTGAAGGAGATTAGTTAAGCAGGATCGTCTCTCACTAAATCCACAGCAGTTATCACCCATTACATTAAATTAATGTTGTATGGCATGCCAGCAATGACAAGCTGATGACCCCCAGTGTCTTACAGGAGGTGGTTGCACTGCTAACATCAAGGTATCATAATTTCAAAGGAATTAAGCACTCTGTGCAACCACTTCAAACCTAGGACCACAGTTTTTTTGTCTGGTACTACTAGGCTTGTGCCTGGCAGAACCCAACAGAATTAACTCATCCAGAGCAAACCATCAGCTGTAATTAGGACATTTAAGAAGGCCAGTCCTATGGGCTGCTGAACACCTTTAGGAGGGTATAGCCAGGTGCTGCCAATGAGTTTGGGTTCCATGGAAAAATCTCACACCCTCGCCAACAGATTTTACAGCAGCTCCTGTAAAAGCTGTCACAACATCCCTTTTCAGCCCATAGTGATAACATTTACTACAAGAGATATTGGAAAAATATGAGGTATATTAAAAAATTATAAATCCACAAGCACATCTCCATATAAAGCCTGGAGGAAGATTGCAACAGTCTATAAAACTTTTCCATTAGGGTTCAAAACCAGAATACTGGGCATATACTGAGCAATCCAGGAGCTGATCCAGTTATTGTTGATACCTATTAGGTATAATTAGGGA